GTCGTTGAACGTTGGCTAATAGGATTGATGGAAGAGGCAGTTTACTCGCATGATAACCGTGATCTTAGGTCGTTGAACGTTGGCTAATAGGATTGATGGAAGAGGCAGTCTTCTCGCTCGCCGTCGGTTTATAAGGAGGACAGGACAACCACTCCCGTAGCAAGACCTATTCTTAAACTATTGTATTACAACTGTTCTACTAAATGATGTAGCCTACAGTCCAATTAATTTGGAGACATTACTAGCAGTCTGGTAGCAGTATGAATGGTGAGATTTAGTGTAGAGTTTGCTGAACAACAGAATCCCTGTAGGCAGCTTTACATGCTGCTGTCCGTCCACTATCATCTTGGTTGCCCATTTTAAAAGTACAGGCATGCACTCACTCAACGCACACAAAGACACAGACACACGGGTCCCTAATCGACAAAACCCATGATGTTATCTCTCTGTGTGGTGAGATGAATGCACTGCTACAATGCTCATTTGATTGCCCATTGTGCAACTGTTTTTTTCTTCCCCTGAAAAATGAAAGGAGCTGTGTGTGTGCATGCGCCTGCGTGTATCTGGGAGTGTGTGTGTACGTGCATTCCAGGGTTTCTGTTAACCAGTAATAGCCGGCTTTTGGCCGATTAAAAAAAATTAATAAAAATAATAATAATAGAAAAGCCGATAAATAAAATTGGCTCCCGTCCAATTGTCCAGGACAAGAAGAAAACATCTCAATGAATTTGGGATCTATCATCCCCCAGTTAGTTTAGAAATACAGGCACAATTAAGATTAAGGGCCTTGCTCAAGGGCACATCGGCAGATTTTTATTCTAGTCGGATCGGGGATTCAAACCAGCGACCTTTTAGTTACTGGCCCAACACTCTCAACCACTAGGTTTCTACTCTGGGGGACAGTAGATTGATAGGCTAGTGATTTTGGTGTTCGTTACTCATCTTGTTGGCTGAGGAAAAGTAAATGTGGACAGTTACTCTTAACATCTTCAAAGTACGGATCAGAGTTAGGTAAGAAGGACCGCACATCGTTGCGTCCTCGACTTGCATGTTCTGTTAATATGAATTACCGTCATCTAAATGTGATTTCTGTCATTCTGAGCACCGTGGGTGGACGCCCTCATCAGGTTACTCACCCAATGCATATTGGGTCCGGTACATTTTAAATGCTGCCGGTCAAATGGCCAGCGTATATGTCTATTTATGTCTGTGTGTGTGTCTCTGTGCGCTCATGTCTGTGTTTGTGTGGTTTTGGGGACTAGCAGCAGGTTCCTGTTGCCTAGTAACACAGTTAAGAGTGCATCCAGTATTGATGAACAAATGGTCTCTTTCTGCTGTGTGGAGTATCTAGCTATATGAGATTATCATAATCATCTCCATCTCAGTCACTAAGGAGGAAGTCCCTCCCAGCAGGAGCATATCTCAATGAGACTATTCTAAAAGTGGACAGCATTTCAGTAAGGGCTTCTGCATGTTCAATGTAAATAAGGTAGATGATCAAGATGAGCGATTCTACGTCTTGTCTTGTCCATCAGACATCACAGTATAGCTTCATCCCCTGTCTCTCACTGTGCTCGAACCATAGATCGTCTCTCTCCCTCACTAACACACGTGACCAACCTCTTGACAACGTCTCTTAGCCAATCACACTGTTGAAGAGTAATGATTCTAGTGGAGTGGAGACATTTCAAGCTGGGGAGTGAGGTTACCAATCCAACTAATATAATATATGCTATTTAGGCCAAAAACATTCAGCAGATGCTTTTATCCAAAGGGACTTACAGTCATGCGTGCATACATTTTCGTGTGGGTGGCCCCAGCGGGAATCAATCCAACTATCTTAACGATGCAAGTGCCATGCTCTACCAACTGAGCTACAGAGGACAACAACTCTGTTATGCTTGCTCATACTGATGGCCTCAAACACATTGTCTAACTTTAACCAACAGTCCAGTCTCCTACTCCTAGTACAGGCTTTAACCAACAGTCCAGTCTCCTACTCCTAGTACAGGCTTTAACCAACAGTCCAGTCTCCTACTCCTAGGACAGGCTTTAACCAACAGTCCAGTCTCCTACTCCTAGTACAGGCTTTAACCAACAGTCCAGTCTCCTACTCCTAGGACAGGCTTTAACCAACAGTCCAGTCTCCTACTCCTAGTACAGATTTTAACCAACAGTCCAGTCTCCTACTCCTAGGACAGGCTTTAACCAACAGTCCAGTCTCCTACTCCTAGTACAGGCTTTAACCAACAGTCCAGTCTCCTACTCCTAGTACAGATTTTAACCAACAGTCCAGTCTCCTACTCCTAGGACAGGCTTTAACCAACAGTCCAGTCTCCTACTCCTAGTACAGGCTTTAACCAACAGTCCAGTCTCCTACTCCTAGTACAGGCTTTAACCAACAGTCCTGTCTCCTACTCCTAGTACAGGCTTTAACCAACAGTCCAGTCTCCTACTCCTAGTACAGATTTTAACCAACAGTCCAGTCTCCTACTCCTAGTACAGATTTTAACCAACAGTCCAGTCTCCTACTCCTAGGACAGGCTTTAACCAACAGTCCAGTCTCCTACTCCTAGTACAGGCTTTAACCAACAGTCCAGTCTCCTACTCCTAGTACAGGCTTTAACCAACGGTCCAGTCTCCTACTCCTAGTACAGATTTTAACCAACAGTCCAGTCTCCTACTCCTAGTACAGATTTTAACCAACAGTCCAGTCTCCTACTCCTAGTACAGATTTTAACCAACAGTCCAGTCTCCTACTCCTAGTACAGGTTGTGCTGTAATCAACCACCCTTGAACAGGACTTTTCAGTGATAAGGATGTGTTGTGTGTACATCCCAGCAGTATGCTGCACAGCTATGTCACCACCATAGTGGTGTCAGTTGAACTCAAACACATGATGTCACCTAATAGTGGTGTCAGCCAAACTCAAACACATGATGTCACCTAATAGTGGTGTCAGCGTGACTCAAACACATGATGTCACCTAATAGTGGTGTCAGCGTGACTCAAACACATGATGTCACCTAATAGTGGTGTCAGCCTGACTCAAACATATGTCACCTAATAGTGGTGTCAGCGTGACTCAAACACATGATGTCACCTAATAGTGGTGTCAGCCTGACTCAAACATATGTCACCTAATAGTGGTGTCAGCGTGACTCAAACACATGATGCCACCTAATAGTGGTGTCAGCGTGACTCAAACACATGATGCCACCTAATAGTGGTGTCAGTATGACTCAAACATATGTCACCTAATAGTGGTGTCAGCATGACTCAAACACATCATGTCACCTAATAGTGGTGTCAGTATGACTCAAACACATTATGTCACCTAATAGTGGTGTCAGCGTGACTCAAACACATGTCACCTAATAGTGGTGTCAGCGTGACTCAAACACATGATGTCACCTAATAGTGGTGTCAGCGTGACTCAAACACATGATGTCACCTAATAGTGGTGTCAGCGTGACTCAAACACATGATGTCACCTAATAGTGGTGTCAGCGTGACTCAAACACATGATGTCACCTAATAGTGGTGTCAGTGTGACTCAAACACATGTCACCTAATAGTGGTGTCAGCGTGACTCAAACACATGTCACCTAATAGTGGTGTCAGTGTGACTCAAACACATTATGTCACCTAATAGTGGTGTCAGCGTGACTCAAAAACATGTCACCTAATAGTGGTGTCAGTGTGACTCAAACACATGTCACCTAATAGTGGTGTCAGTGTGACTCAAACACATGATGTCACCTAATAGTGGTGTCAGCGTGACTCAAACACATGTCACCTAATAGTGGTGTCAGCTTGACTCAAACACATGTCACCTAATAGTGGTGTCAGCGTGACTCCAACACATGATGTCACCTAATAGTGGTGTCAGCGTGACTCAAACACATGATGTCACCTAATAGTGGTGTCAGCGTGACTCAAACACATGTCACCTAATAGTGGTGTCAGCGTGACTCCAACACATGATGTCACCTAATAGTGGTGTCAGCGTGACTCAAACACATGATGTCACCTAATAGTGGTGTCAGCGTGACTCCAACACATGATGTCACCTAATAGTGGTGTCAGCGTGACTCAAACACATGATGTCACCTAATAGTGGTGTCAGCGTGACTCAAACACATGATGTCACCTAATAGTGGTGTCAGCATGACTCAAACACATGTCACCTAATAGTGGTGTCAGCGTGACTCAAACACATGATGTCACCTAATAGTGGTGTCAGCTTGACTCAAACACATGATGTCACCTAATAGTGGTGTCAGCGTGACTCAAACACATGATGTCACCTAATAGGGGTGTCAGCCTGACATAGAAATATCATAGAATAATGGTACGTTATCTGTGTACTGCAATCTAGTTAACCACTTTCATTAGGCCTAAACAAATGTAAGTTAGTACATTGTGTCAATATATCCTCCTCTAAGAAAAAAAAAGTGAGAGACAGATGGTACAAGGCAGATTTGTTCCCCGGAAATCTGGCTATGGAGTGCCTGCAGCAACTGCTGTCTCTATACTCGTCTACCATTCAAAGTCATCCCTCTATCTTCTGTTTAGTCATCAGGCTAATGAATGATGGCATCGTCCAACCCAAAACGCACACACACACATCTCTCTCTCCCTCTCTCTCACACTCATTCCATTTCTCTCTGGCTCATAGTCGTGCTTTCTGCAACAGCTAAGTCTCTCTGTACTCTCTCTCCTTTTTCTGTTCCTCTTCATTTCACCTTCTCTCTCTTCACTACCTCCTCTCTCTCTCCATTCTGTTAGGTTTGTCTATAGATTAATAGTTATGTCTGACTATTGGTTACACAGTTTAGAGTAGTATTGGGGGGGGGGGACAGTAGACCGGTTCACGTGATCATGGCGTGTCTGAATAAGCTTATACTGTAGTTAGTATCTATGTTATTCCTGAGCGTACTCCATGCTGTTGTGTGAGAGGGGACAACAGAAACTAGGTGGGATCAGTACTCTCTGTAATGGCAGGAGCTCACAAGGCTCAGGGCAACAAGCTCTCCTCTGGGACGGGGATGGGTAGAGCTGTTTATTCTACCGACATCAACACGGCCAACAACAGATGTAAGTTCACTGAACTGGAAGATTTCAGGCAATGTTTGTGTAGTTAACTTGATCTTTGTGGTTTTTTTTCCCCCGCCGGTGTTTTAAAGGCACTGTTACTGTATCAGGTCTGTTACTGTATCAGGTCTGTTACTGTATCAGGTCTGTTACTGTACCAGGTCTGTTACTGTACCAGGTCTGTTACTGTACCAGGTCTGTTACTGTACCAGGTCTGTTACTGTACCAGGTCTGTTACTGAATCAGGTCTGTTACTGTACCAGGTCTGTTACTGTATCAGGTCTGTTACTGTATGAGGTCAGTGTAGGTGGGGAGGAAGAGAGTAGTCCTCGCCTACATACCGGTATTAGACCACATTATGTGTGTGTAGGCACTGGGATTGCTGGGTGCCTACCTGCATGTATGTGTTAATGTGTTGCATGTCTATATTCCAGGAGAACTAGGTAAGCTGACAGCTGCTTTACTGCTCTCTCTGTCTCTCTCTGTCTCTCTCTCTCTCTCTCTCTCTCTCTCTCTCTCTCTCCTCCTCTCCCTCTCTCTCTCTCTCTTCTCTCTCCTCTCTCTCTCTCTCTCTCTCTCTCTCTCTCTCTCTCTCTCTCTCTCTCTCTCTCTCTCTCTCTCTCTCTCTCTCTCTCTCTCTCTCTCTCTCTCTCTCTCTCTCTCTCTCTCTCTCTCTCTCTCTCTCTGTCTCTGTCTCTGTCTCTGTCTCTGTCTCTGTCTCTGTCTCTGTCCACTCCAGTCGATGCTGATGAGATTAAGCGGCTGGGAAAGAGGTTTAAGAAACTGGACCTAGATAACTCTGGGTCTCTCAGCGTGGAGGAGTTCATGTCCCTGCCTGAACTCCAGCAGAACCCGCTGGTCCAGAGGGTCATCGACATCTTCGACACAGATGGAAATGGAGAGGTGGACTTCAAGGGTAAGCCAGAGTGCAAGAGTAGCCTGGTCCCAGATCTGTTCGTGCCTTTTCCTTCTCCATTGTGCATGACCATTTTTACTGGTGAATAAATGCTTGGGCCCGACAATGTCTTTGGATTGAAGCTCATTTGCTGAAATCAAGGCTAATAATATCAGGGACGTCAGTGTTGGTAAACAGGTTTATTGTCCTCCTGTCTGAGAATGTCCCAGCAAAGTACAGGGTGGCCTAAACTAGAGGGGTATACGACAAACCAGGATCAATGAGCTGTCCAGATAACTTGCCTAAAATGTCTGAAATAACTTTTTATTATTTTAGAAAGATAAGCTTGGTATGGGCATTGTCTCATTGACTCAACAACCAAACACACACCTAAGTTTAGCTTTCTTAATTAACGAGAAAATCTATATTTATTTCTGGTCGTTCATGAAAGTTAGCTGGCTAACTCATTGATCATGCTTCCTGATAGTTGCTGGTTGAAAACACCGGACCTTCTAATCAGCAGGTTTCCATGGGCAGGAGTTTCAGCTTTCCATGGTGACATCACCATGCAGTAAATTGGTTAATAGACCAATAACAAAGAGAGTTCCAAACCTCTCTGCCAATAACAGCTATTTTTCCATTTTCTCTCCCCGCTCTGACCACTTCCAGACAGTCCTAGCAAGAATCTTACTAGAGAAATAGTTTTTTGCTAAAAAAGCTATTTTTGCTAATTGTAATGGAAATCTATTACAGTAAGGTACTTAATTGTTACCCAGAAATGATTTGATATTGATATAAAACGGCTGCATTGTGCCTTTAATCACATTGCATGATGAACAGTATTAAAAGGATCTTGATGACCAGGGAGAGAAGTTGGGACTTTGGCCTGGACTGGTTTAGACCAGTGTTTCTCTCTGCCTAACGGTACCTGCAGAGGCAGCAGTAACACTGAATAACATAGGACAGTCAGAACTAGATAGCCTAGATTCCATCCGGATATAGCACGATTGACATTTAAAGATAATTTCCGATTGAGCCGACATATGCATCGTTTACCGTGAATGCGGCCTCTGCAAAAACATTGCCTTTAAAAGGTGCATAGCGTAAAAGGGGCGTACTGATTGAATCTAGCCCTAAGTATCGATTGCAGTAGTCTGCTGATGAGATTTTGATTGAATTTATGAACGCATAAGTAGTGCATTTGATCACTCCGATTTATAAAAGTATTGCGTAGGCTAGTAACAGTATAAGAAGTCAAAGAAAGTCTAACTCTAAACCATCTCTTTCCCCATCAGAATTCATTGAGGGAGTCTCACAGTTCAGTGTCAAGGGGGACAAGGAGTCAAAGCTTCGGTGTAAGTAGACAAATCTACTGCAAATCCACCTCCTCTACATCCTACATCGATACGCCTCTCACCACACAAAGTTAAAGGATCTGTATTACAAAGACAAAACCCATCCCCCAGTCGCCAAAGTAGAAACAGAATGCCTGATAGCATCAATGATGAGGCTTTCTCCAAAACACAAAAGGTCTGTGTTCAGGATTGTTGACTTACCCACACATTCCTTCATCCTTCCACCTCGCTCTCCCTCCTCTCCCTCCCTGGCCCCTTTCTCTCCCTCCCTGGCCCCTTTCTCTCCCTCCCTGACCCCTTTTTCTCCCTTTCTCTCACTCCTTGGCCCCTTTCTCTACCTCCCTGGCCCCTTTCTCTCCCTCCTCTCCCTCCCTGGCCCCGTTCTCTCCCTCCCCGGCCCCTTTCTCTCCCTCCCTGGACCCTTTCTCTCCCTCCCTGGCCCCTTTCTCTCCCTCCCTGGCCCCTTTCTCTCCTCTCCCTCCCTGGCCCCTTTCTCTCCCTCCCTGGCCCCTTTCTCTCCCTCCCTGGCCCCTTTCTCTCCCTCCTCTCCCTCCCTGGCCCCGTTCTCTCCCTCCCCGGCCCCTTTCTCTCCCTCCCTGGCCCCTTTCTCTCCCTCCCTGTCTCCTTCCCCCCCTCCCCTCTAGTCGCCTTCCGGATCTACGACATGGACAAGGATGGCTACATTTCCAACGGGGAGCTCTTCCAGGTGCTGAAGATGATGGTTGGAAACAACCTGAAGGACACTCAGCTCCAGCAGATCGTGGACAAGACCATCATCAACGCAGACAAGGACGGAGACGGCAGGATATCCTTTGAAGAGTTCTGCTTAGTAAGTCTGGGGTCATGATGGCCGGGGAACTGGGGTTAAAGGGATACTGAGAGATGCTACCGTATCTGTACACTTTAGCTAGTTAGCATTGGCTCGCGAAACTACCTCTGACTTCCTTCGTACTGCACGCAGAGACATACAAATAATATCCACGAGTTCATCTGACTCTGGGGAAGTTGAAGAACTGCCAGAATCTCGCAGTATACAGTGCCTTCAGAAAGTATTCAGACCCCTTGACTTTTCCCACATTTTGTTACGTTACAGCCTTATTCTAAAATGGATTAAATAAAACATTTTCCTCAGCAATCTACTTACAATAACCCTTAATGACAAAGTGAAAACAGGTTGTTAGACATTTTTGCAAATGTATTAAATATACTAAACAGAAATACCTTATTTACACAAGTAGTCAGACTCTTTGCTATGAGACTCAAAGTTGACCTCAGGTGCATCCTGTTTCCATTGATCATCCTTGAGATTTTTCTACAACTTGATTGGAGTCCAGCTGTGGTAAATTCAATTGATTGGACATGATTTGGAAAGGCACACACCTGTCTATATAAGGTCCCACAGTTGACAGTGCATGTCACAGCAAAAACCAAGCCATGAGGTCGAAGGAATTGTCCGCAGAGCTCCAAGACAAGATTGTGTCGAGGCACAGATCTGGGGAAGGGTACCAAAAAACAAATCTGCAGCATTGAAGGTCCCCAAGAACACAGTGGCCTCCATCATTCTTAAATGGAAGAAGTTTGGAACCACCAAGACTCATCCTAGAGCTGGCTGCCCGGCCAAACTGAGAAATCGGGGGAGAAGGGCCTTGGTCAGGGAGGGGACCAAGAACCTGATGGTCACTCTGACAGAGCTCCAGAGTTCCTCTGTGGAGATGGGAGAACCTTCCAGAAGGACAACCATCTCTGCAGCACTCCACCAATCAGGCCTTCATGGTAGAGTGGCCAGACGGAAGCCACTCTTCAGTAAATGGCACATGACAGCCCACTTGGAGTTTGCCAAAAGGCACCTAATGACTCTCAGACCATGAGAAACAAGATTCTCTGGTCTGATGAAACCAAGATTGAACTCTTTGGCCTGAATGCCAAGCGTCACGTCTGGAGGAAACCTGGCCAATACCATCCCTACGATGAAGCATGGTGGTGGCAGCATCATGCTGTGGGGATGTTTTTCAGCGGCAGGGACTGGGAGACTAGTCAGGATCGACGGAAAGATAAACGGAGCAAAGTACAGAGATCCTTGATTAAAAACCTGCTCCAGAGCGCTCAGGACCTCAGACTGGGGCGAAGGTTCACCTTCCAACAGGACAACGACCCTAAGCACACAGCCAAGACAACGCAGGAGTGGCTTCGGGACAAGTCTCTCAATGTCCTTGAGTGGCCCAGCCAGAGCCCGGACTTGAACCCGATCAAACATCTCTGGAGAGACCTGAAAATAGCTGTGCAGCAACGCTCCCCATCCAACCTGACAGAGCTTGAGAACATCTGCAGAGAAGAATGGGATAAACTCGCCAAATAAAGGTGTGCCAAGCTTGTAGCGCCATACCTAAGAAGACTCAATGCTGTAATCGCTGCCAAAGGTGCTTCAACAAGGACTAAGTAAAGGGTCTGAATACTTATGTAAATGTGATATTTCCGTTTTTAATTTTTAATAAATTAGGCAAAAAATATGAAAACCTGTTTTTGCTTTGTCAATATGGGGTAGTGTGTGTAGATTGATGAGGGGGGAAAAACAATTTAATCAATTTTAGAATAAGGCTGTAACATAACAAAATGTGGAAAAAGTCAAGGGATCTGAATACTTTCCGAAGTCACTGTCTCGAAAAGTTCTCCAAGTTTCCCAGTTAATTTTTTTATTCTTGTTGGAGGATTCCCAGTATCAGGAAGGAACAAGCAGAGCTTGAGGACATTTTCCAGAATAGTGCAACCGTATTGGGGGGTAACTCCACTTTTGGAGGGCTGCTACGGTTGATGGCTTCTCCTGCCCGGCTCTAACACACCAGAGGGCTTATTCATTGAAGTGTAAAAAATGTTGCAATGTTGCAGATCTAAATGTTATGTATAGAGCGTGATTCTAGCCCATTTCACTATGAAAGTTCTGTATTCTGTTTCACTCTTCTGAATAAGCCATATTTGGCACATAATTCTCTTAAGGCAGTGGTTCCCAAAGTTTTCAGTTCCGGGGACCACTAAATCACTGTCAAAAGCTCGAGGACCACCATTGGCGGTAAAGTGTAGTACATTTTTGCAGTGAATGTAACAAATTAAAGGCCTATTATTATTATTATTATTATAAACAATTTGAATTGTGAAAAGTAATGTCAAATTGATTTATAATAACATGAATACTCCCAACTGTTATTATCTTTGGAAGAAAAAAAAAATATTTGTATTTTATTTAAATTGAATCCCAAAAATTAAAATTGGCGGGGCACAGGT